CCTGCCTGTAGGATGGGCTACAGCAGGGTGGGGGCTGCAGGTACCTGCTGGGTGCATGGGCCAGGGCGCTGGGCTCGGGGGGTTCTTGCATCCTCACACCCCACGCAGAAGCAGGAGCGTCCATGTTTTGGCCCTGGCACACACACCCCTGGGTGGGAGCGCGTGCGGGTGGAGCCAGGCACGCAGCCACCGACAGCTCCGAGCTTGCACGGCCGGGCGGCAATGCTGAGCTTCGGGGCGACACAACAGGAGCAAGCCCCTGGGCTGCCCCGGGAGCCCCGGCACACCACTGGGGCACCCCAGCACATGGACATCCCCTGGGGATCTGTTAGCAGCCTCCCACACCGCTGGGCTGAGGCAGGGCTCTGCTGCCCACAGCCACTGCAGGGCTCTGGAAGTGCCTCCTGCACCCACAGACCCTGCGAGCCCGGGAACCTACGACACAACAGGAGCAAGCCCCTGGGCTGCCCCGGGAGCCCCGGCACACCACTGGGGCACCCCAGCACATGGACATCCCCTGGGGATCTGTTAGCAGCCTCCCACACCGCTGGGCTGAGGCAGGGCTCTGCTGCCCACAGCCACTGCAGGGCTCTGGAAGTGCCTCCTGCACCCACAGACCCTGCGAGCCCGGGAACCTAGAGCTCTTTATCAGCCTGAGACACCTTCCTGTACCACTGCCATCACCTGCAACTGTCACCAAATTCTGTCTCCCCAGGGATGTATGTGGCCCCTTGCCCTCCTGGCTCTCCCGGGAGCTGGAACACACTTGCAGTGGGTTTTTGGGCATCCCTTTGCTGCAGCATCACCCAGGCGCCCAGCACCTCTGCCCTGCACAGCTGAGCAAGGCCCCTTCTCCACCCCGCATCCAGGGAGCCCAAAGCTCTGTGCCCCAAAGGGCCTCATCAGACACCCCCAGCCCCACAGCAGGGACCAGGGCCATGGGGGAGCCAGTGTCATTCTGCTCTGGCTCAGGCTGACCATCAGCCGCCTCCAGCTGCTCAGCAAGCGCACAGTTAAAAGGGCCTTTTTGGAAAGGGCTGGGCTGGGCTCTGGTGTTTTTTCAGTCTCCTCATTTACTGGTGGCTTTGTTTTCCAATCGAGAAACCCCAGCGAGTCTTAGAGCCCCACAGCCTCCTCAAGGGCCGCTCTTGAGGCCCTGTTTGGTTTGGGAGGATTTTTTGTGTTATTATTTTGTTTAAAGCAAGCGGCCCGAGGCCGGGAAGCATTATTCATCATTAAGGGCTGGCTGTGTAGCAGAGACAACCCAACACACACATTCTTCCCAGGGCAGAATCAGCCATCAGGCAGGAAATGGCAGCAGGTTTGTTGTGTTTTTTTTTTTCCTTTCTCCTTCAAACACTCCAGCAAGAATTAAACTAACATGGATTTTTTTCTCTGGGTAGATTTTTAAGGAGACACAACAAGCCAAAAACCCTGCAGAAGAAGTTGCCAAGAGAGCAAATAGTTGTTTTTATTTCCCTAGCCCTTGCCTCTCCTGCACCTCGTCCTGCATCCCAGGGTGCTGCAGGCAGCTCTGCCCATGGGGTGGCCAGGTGCCATGGGGCCATCCCCTCCCCCTGGCACTGCCAGATTTAGCCTCAATCAAGCAAGCGTCAACCTTTTCCATGGAGACACACGGCCCTCTGTAATTCCCTGACCACTTATTTTCATACTTTCTCCATGCTACGTTTTTTCAATGGCCTCCTTTTCCCCGCCTGCACCACAGCAGGGCTGGCCCGTTCCCGGGAGAAGCCGTAACCGCAGGCAAGCCTGGACAGGGGGGGAGGGCGGCTTTTGATAGCCCTGCTCGGCCCTGGCATCCTCACCGCTTTGCAAACCCTGCCAGCAGCCAGTCCTCAAGCAGCTCTGCTCCCAGGAGCTGGACAGGAAACACATGCCCTGGGGCCGCTGCTCCCCATCACTGTCACCACTGTACCTCCTGGGGAGGAGGTGGCTCTGTGCCCCGCTCGATGCTCCCATCTCTCCCACCATCTCAGTCCCATCGTCGAGCCAGTCTGGCCCCAGACCCCCCCTTTCATCACGGTGAGAGTGCAGAGGGGACTTGGCTCCCCAGTGGTCTGGCACAGCACGGCACGGTTCAAGCGAGACAGGTCTGGAGGGAGACCTGGCATTACTGGGTCTATAACCAAGCCGGTCCTTGGCAAAGGGCCCCTGCCACCCCCCCAGGCCTTACCAGTTGTGGACGGGGCAGATGTGGTTGTTGGAGAGCGCCATGGCGTACCTGGTGGAGTGACAACAACAGGAGTTACCATAGCTGCCCACGTCCCTGCACCCCCGCTATCAGTCAGCACCCGGGGCCAGCTGCAGGAGCGGGGCTACGAGCCCTTGCTGCCTGCCAGGGGCCAGTGCTCACCCTGGGGCACCTCCTGGGGAGCTCTTATTGCCAGAACCAGGTACCCCTACCCGGTATCCCCATCCTCATCGACAGCCACCTCCTGCTCTGGTCCAGTGCGGATGCAGCTGCTCCTGCAAGGTCACTTCCCCTTCACACTGCTGTGCTCCCCAGGCTCTAGGGGGCTGCTCTGCTGCAGAGCTCCCCCTCCCTGGCACTGGGGCTCTCCACTAGCCTACAGCCATGCAGGGCATCAGCCAAAGGCCACTGTGCTCTGTCATGCTCTTCTTGGCCGGCCAGGAGCTAAAAGAAGCCTGGAATAGTAGCTGGTGCGTTGGCAGGGCATTTTGGATGGATCGGCTCCATCGGGCATTTCACTGTGGAGTCAACCCTGCACCTCGGTCAGCATAACGAGGGGTTCACAACACCCATACCATTCAGCTCCAGGGGAGTCTCAGCCCCATGGTCCCACAGCTGGCAAAGAGCCCTCCTGCTGCTGGGCGGCCCCACACTGTTCAAATCGCTGCCGCTGGCAGCTGGAAACAGCTCAGGTTAAAAATAGGCCCCAACACCGGTAAGAAAGCCCCTCTCCCACCCAAGCTGGCCATGTAACAGCCGGGCTGCAAAAAGGATGATCCCAGCAGAGAGGTGCGGGTTCAAAGAGCAGGACATCTGGGGGAAGTCAAAGGGCCCAAGCATCGAGTCCCTGTCCCAGCCCTCCGTGCCATCCTGGGAGGGGACAATAAGCTAAGAGAGGCACAAACGGCTCTGCCCTCCCCCAGCGGGAAGTGCCCCATCCGCTTGGTCCCCCCTCACAGCTCTGCATCCCAGGCATGGCTGGTGGGGCCCTGCATGAGCCAAGCGCTCCCACATGCAACTGCCCAGCCTCACCCTGCCACTGTGCTGACAAGTGACACTGTCCCCCGGGTGGCAGCAGGACATGTTTGGGGCCAGAAAAAGGGCCCAGGACTCCCCCTCCCACAGTATCTCTGGCTGTGAGGACCATGAGCAGCACCTCCACCCACGCTGCCCTGGTCTGGAGGGGCATCTGCCCCCCAGGCTCACCCATGGGAGGCAGCCCGGGCTTCAGGAGGACAAAGTTAAAACTCAGACCATGAGGTTCTTGCACCAAGGTCAGCATTTGGTTTTGTTTTCAAGGACACGGGACAGAGGGGAAGCTCTCAGAGGGTCCTGCATGCTGTGGGGTGCATTTGCTTCATCCCATACCCCAGCAAGTCCCATCACCTACACTAAGGCTCCCTGTGCCTTTGGGAAAAGACCCTCATCCAGTGCCCACTGCCCCCACAACAGTGGCATAGGGGGGCTGACTGGGGCAGGATAGGGCAGGACAGGGCACAACAGCCCTACCTGACCAGCTGAGATCCCACGGCCAAGGCCCAGGGAAGGAATTGGCAGGGTGGGTAATGCTGCTCACCCAGGTGACACAGCCTCTGCCCCCAGCACAACGGACAATCGTCCCCTGGCCCTCCCATCCATCCCATCTGGAACCAGGATGGGATGGGTGCTCATGTGCAGGTTATGGCCCTGGCACTGCAGGACCTGGGCTGGTGGCATCGCTCCCAAGGCGATTCCCGTGCTGTCTAAGCATCGGCTGCACTCATGTCTGGACA